ATATATTTAAGAAAAACACCTTCCACTTTAGTACTAAAAGCACTTGTTGCTTATAATATAAAATACCAAAGTCACGCAAAGCTTTTTGGTGGCTCGAGAAAGTTGGTTCCATTAACTATGTAGTAAATAATTATTTTTTCAAGTTGCATGGCACGTGATCAGTAATCAATATTCTTTGGACACCAACCAATGGGAAGAAAGTATTTCGTTCATGAACATAGTTATTGGAGTGGTAGATTAGACCGTGCAATCAATTTTAAAATAGAGAACATTGAAAACGATGGCCCGAAAGGTATGAAATAAGAGACGAATTGGGAGTTGTTGAAAATGGTTCACATTGCCAGGCCAAAAGGAGAGTAAAATCTATGAGATTAAATTTGTTTTCTTTTCTTCATATGGAATGAATTTTAAGTTACATACTAGCTAGTCTAGTAGATGGCTTTTATTTACTTTTTTTTTTTTTTGGTATAACTAGTTTACTACATGTGTAGTAAATGAAAAATGAGGAAAGAATTTAACTTGTTATAGACTTGTTCAAGAGACTTTGTACTTCTATTTTTACACAATGCTTTAAAGAAGTAAAATTCTAACGTTGTCGATTTAGGTTACAGTTTGAATTGATAAATTTTCAAATAATTTTTTAAGAAATGAGATTTTTTATAACTTGCTAATATAGAGATAAATTATCAATGAAAAGGGTTACGTGAAAATTTCAAATAACTCCTACTGTTTTTGCCATTTTTTATAAGAGAAATGATGTCATATGGGTCTAATTTTCCTTTAAAAAAAATAATACTAAATGATATTGGTAGTGCTTAACACAATCTACTAAATACTAATAAAAAGTTGGTCTCATAATATGGGATCTAAAATTAAGACTCACCTTCTATTAATAGTAGTGTGTAGCATCGATAGTGCTCCTAAGTATTTTTTCATTAAGTTCAAAACTATTTTAATTAGGTTCATGAAAACCAAAAACTGGCTTATAAATGTGCCAAACAATCTTGTATTGCTTGTTCCAAAAAAAAATATATAAATGCATATGAAATCGGGTAAAGTTAGCTATCTACTAGGAAAAGAAAATAAATACCTTTTAAAAGTACCTTATAAAAGCAAATATATCAGAATTTCTATATTTTACTTTTAATTAATAACTCTTTTAGTCAAATAATTATAATAATAAAATATTATTAATTAAGAATGAGTAATAAAAATTAAGAGTCATACTTTTAATAGTAAATTCTGTAATTTTTTCCCCTCCCTCTCTCCTCTCATCCTCTGTCTATCCTCCCTCCCCTGTTATGCATTTGAAAATTTGGGCCTTAAATGGGCCCAATAATTTGCTGTTGTCATCCACCGCCCCCCGAAAAGTGACGGAATTACAGCACCAAAAACGAAAGCGCCGGTTTAGTAAAGTTTTTACTTTTGTTTTTAACCAATAAAAATAAAAATAAAAACTATAATTTTTCAAATAAGTGTTTAGAATAAAAAATTTAATAGATTAAGGTCTCGTTCGTTTCGCTGATTCGAGTTTAGAATTCGAGTTTTGCTACAGTAAAAAGCTCTCACAAACAGTCACATCTAACTTTTTTGCTACAGTAAAAAACTCTCACATAAAATCACATCTCAACTCGAATTCTAAACTCGAATCAGCGAAACGAACGAGGCCTAAAATGATCTTTAAATTTTTTAAAAAATAATATAAGTGTTAAAATTAAATTTATAATACTTTAATTAAATTATAGTATAAGTTTTAAAATCTATTCTGAAGCATTTTTTTTAAAAGTCACAATTTTTTTTTAATTAAAAGTCATTTTCAAAAAATTATTCAAACACTTTTAAAAAATAACTTTTGGACTTGAGAAGGCAAGAGCTGCTTTTGAAAAGCTCTCCTAAACAGCCTATGTCTTCCGAATTCAAGGGTTAAGAGTTGAGAGCTTTTCACCGCTAAAGTTGCAGAGATTATTGCGGGCCCGTTCACTTCGTTGATTCGAGTTTGTAATTTGAGTTGATATATAATTTTATGTGAGAGTTTTTTACTGTAGCAAAAAAGTTAGATGTGATTGTTTCTGAAAGTTTTTTACTGTAGCAAAACTCGAATTCTAAACTTGAATCGGCGAAATGAAAATGTCACACAAAAGAATAACAAAATTAACCAAGTTCGAATGTACCGACACTTTCTATGTGGCTTTATGCCTTGTTTATTTCACTGATTTGAGTTTAGAATTCGAGTTTTATTACAGTAAAAAGCTCTCAGAAACAGTCATATCTAACTTTTTTGCTACAGTAAAAAACTCACATAAAGTCACATCTCAACTCGAATCGGTGAACTAAATGGATCCTTAATTTCTCACACGTACATGATACGGACCTTTTTTCTTGTCTTTCAACGTCATTTCGTTTTTATTTATATTTCTCATTAATTTTTTGTTTAAATATTTGAATTTTAATACTTTCTAACCCATCTCATTTTAAAGGGATATGTGTACAATCTCTACACTCATACTGCAATTACATGAAGCAGCTTTGGTTTGTATTATCCTGATAACTGCTGCATATTTTCACTCTTTTTAAGTACTTAAAAAATAAGGGAAAGAAAACATAAGACTGAGGGCCCGTATGGTAACCTTTTTAAAATGATTTTGTTTTTAATATAAAAATAAAAATGATAATATTTTGAGAATCATTCTGCGACTGATTCTGAAATTATATTTTGTTAGTTTTTTAAAAGATTATTTTGAGTATAATAAAGAAGTGAAATCGTATTTGGTTATAATTATTAGTTAATATATTATAACATTGTTGATAATTACTAGAATTTGAAAATAGAAAATAGAAAACAACATTCAATCGTTATCTAATTTATTCATAAAAATCATTCTCACTGTTTTTTATTTTCGTTTTCAAAATATTTGCTAAACAAACACGGTTCGCATACCGTTTTCATTTTCGTGCCTCAAAAGACATGTAAAATTATTTTAAAAAATAAGTAAAAATTAATTCTAAACACACCATAAAATTCTCCTTTCTTTATTATTTTCTAGTACCTATGAATGTTGAGTCTATGCATGTTAGAACGCGCACATCCCAAAAAGGTTAAGTTTATAGAGTGGCATTAATTTTTACTATGGGCCTGTTTGAATTGGCTTAAAAAAATTGATTTTAGTTTATTTAGTTTATAAGCCGCTTTTGAACCTATTTGGATGGACAATTTTAAAAAGTTTTTAACTTTTTAAGCACTTTTAGAACAAGTCATTTTTTTGGTGCTTATGAAAAAAGTGCTTATGAAAAGATTTTTTATTTACATCTTTAACTTTTATTTGTGAACAAAAAATTAAATATCCCATCCATATCCTTTTATTACATTATTTTTTATAATAAAAAGTATTTTTGACTTTTTGACCCAAAGAGGTTTAAAAGCTCTTTTTAGATATAAAAATATTTTTTTAAGCACTATTCAAACACTAATAAAAAAATCATAACTTATGTTTATCTTATTATACTACTTAAAAGTACAAGCACAAATTATTCTAAACGGACCCTAAGTATACACAAGTACATATAGCTGACAGTTGATAGTTTCATATACCCAAAAAAGAAAAAAAAATCAACTTACCAAGAGCATTTTATTACCATCTAGCTGACAGTTGATAGTGTCATATATACAAAAGCGGGTTGATATTAGTTTTATATTACACCCTAAAAATATATTAAAAACTAATTAGTAATGTTCTTTATGTGATATTTAGTCTAAACTAATGTCTTATTCATTTTACCGATTTGAGCTTTGTTATAGTAAAAAGCTCTAAAAAACAGTTAAATCTAACTTTTTTGCTACAGTAAAAAGTTTCACGTAAAGTCATATCTCAACTCGAATTAAAAATTTGAATCAATGAATTAAAAATTTGAATCAACGAATTAAACGAACCCCAAATATTATTATGCTTTGAATTAGAAGATAAGTCACTAAAAATTACAACATAACACCCAAAAATAACGGAAAAGGTGACATGATATATATTTCTTTTACCTAAGGAGAAGATGCCAATATATGATTAAATTTATCTACTAAATTGTTTTCTGTATAGATGTCATGCAGCTTCTGAAAAAGCTAAAATTTTTTTCATGCCTTGGTTGTCATGGAAGCACGTTCATTTTGAATTTATTTATTCACCTTGTGTTGATCAAGGAAAATAAAAAAATACCAATAAAGGTACATTCCCTCTTTCTCAAGTCTCATCTCTCAGCTTTTCATCCTTAGTTTATTCAAGTAATTTGTAATTTGTTTTGTAGATTTGAGTTGAGATGTAATATTTTTTTAGAAATTTTAATTATAATAAAAAAAGTTAGATATAATATTTTTTTATAATTTTTAACTGTAAAAATTTAAAATTTAAAATTTAAATTGGTAAAATTAATGACGCATAAATCCATTCCAATATTCAAAGCTCGGTGCTCAGACATTCATACGCCGTAGATTTTGAAAGAAAAAGAAAAGGGCAAGAGAAAAAAAAAAAAAGAGAAAATTTTACCTACCTACTAAAGTACTATTATACAACTTTTGAAATGTATATTAGTATATATAATCAGCTTGTGGTGTAATTATTATCATCCATTAGTTATCCCAAGTAGTACGCACTTTTCAACCTAGCTTTTCCGGTCATTAGCCCCTTTCTTCCAAAGGTTTGAAAGTCGGTAGAGAACAACCATAACTGGTGAAGCTGCATCTACCAAGCTAGCTAAGCTAGCCCATTAATCAAGTTCAACTTTCCCTAGTTCTTACGTTTTCCTCTCTAGTTCTTTTATTTTTTTTTAAATTTTTTTTTAAAACCCAGGCTTAATTATTCCCATATAGCACATTGAAAGGAAAAAAGCAAGGCCATAGTTAAATAAATTAAAAACAGTAAAAAAAGAACAAAAGAAAAAGAGGGGGGGCACAAGTTGCTACATGCAAAAATTTTTTAACTGGCTAGGGTTTGGAGTCTCTTAGGTTTTTTCTATGCTAGATAGAGTCAGTACTATTTAAAAAACTGTGATAAGGAGTACTAGACTACTAGTTCATAGTGATCTCTCCTTCTTTCAACACACTACTAAACTAATATCTCATTTTCCTTTCTCCTTTCACATTGATCAATATCAAAGAGAGAGAGAGATCAGATCAGAAATACCATATTTTTCATATTATATATAGTATTACTTGTTCGATAATACTAGATTATCGGACAAAATCACAAATGTCCGGTTTAGAACCAGCAGGACCAGGTTCTCGCTACATCCACCAACTCCTGGGACCAGATCTCCAGCTCCAAAGACCCTCAACAACACTCACCGACTCCAAAAACTCCCCAGAAAACGACCAACCAACCACTGACCACCCCGACGGGCCCACCACGAGCTCTGGCGGCGGCGCAGCCTCCTCCTCCTCCTCCCGCCGCCCCCGTGGCCGCCCTTCCGGCTCTAAGAACAAGCCCAAGCCCCCCATCTTCGTCACGCGTGACAGCCCCAACGCGCTCCGATCCCACGTGCTGGAGATCGCCTCCGGCTCCGACGTCGTCGAGTCGGTTTCCAGCTACGCGCGTCGCCACGGGAGGGGAATCTGCGTGCTCAGCGGCAGCGGCGCCGTCACCAACGTCACATTGCGGCAGCCGGCTGGCTCCGCCGCGGCGCCTGCGGCCCCGACGGGAGGCGTGATGACGCTCCACGGAAGGTTCGAGATCCTGTCGCTGACGGGGACGTCTCTGCCTCCGCCTGCACCTCCCGGGGCGGGAGGACTGACAATATACTTGGGAGGCGGGCAGGGGCAGGTCGTCGGGGGGAGCGTGGTGGGGCCCCTGACGGCTTCCGGGCCGGTGATGCTGATGGCGGCTTCATTTGCAAATGCGGTGTTTGATCGGTTGCCGCTGGAGGACGATGACGGCTCGGCCGCGCCGGTGCAGCCCACGACATCGCAGTCTTCGGGCGTGACGGGTGGCGGAGGAGGCGGCGGCGAAGTCCCATTTTACAATTTGGGAGTGGGAATGGCCGGGATTTACGGTGGTAATTTTTCAACTGAAGGTTTCGGTTGGGGTGGTGGCAATACCTCGTCAAGGTCTCAATTTTAGCTTCTACTCAAGATGTGAATAAAGAAGGATAAATAGAATTCTGCACCATTGAAGATGAAAATGGTGAAGAATTTGTGGAATATTGCTCTGGATAGGGATCGGTATTTGTGATATACATACACATGACAAGAATAGCAATCCTTTCCAAAAGCTCAAAGCTGTTAAGAAATTGAATGCGACAATAATAATGAGCATTCATCGGAGACGAAAAATTTCGGAAAACCTCTCAAATCCAGTAAGTAATCAGAGTACTTTGACCATGTCCCGATGCATGATATTGTTTTGTGTTCTTGTTTTGATCATCTTATGGGAAAGACTTGTACTTGTGTCTACAAGTTTAAGAATTTGCTCAATGACATGAGTTTATATGGATTCTTTGTTATTTCGATTATGCTCTTGAATTCCACTATTAAATCATTCTCCAGATTGAATTATATTAACTTATAATAACAATTGAAATTTAGTTAGTACTTGCTGAAAAATAATGGCCAAAGCTAATTAAGCCGAAAGGTAATTAGTATAGACCTTGCAGACCACTATCTTGGGAAGGAAAAGAAAACCCTAATTCTCAAAAGCAGGAAAAGATGCCTAATTAGCTTTGAAACTTGAAACTGTTCATGATGGATGGAAAGCTGCTTCTTCTTTGGAAGTTTGTGTTCAAACTGTTATCTAATTTTGGAGTAATATATTGTTCTCTAATATTGTTTTTCAGTTTTTGTCTGGCTTATAAATGTCTTCTACATGTCTTAATTCTCCTTCGCTGGTCTGTATATCATTTCATGTGTGATTGTGCTGAAAATATTTTATTGCTTCTTAAATTGAAATTACTTTCTGAATCCTCAAAACCCTTTTATTTTCGTTACAAACTTAGAAGTACATTTTGTGCACAAAATCTTATATCCTCAAAATCCTATACATGAAAGTTTGTGTTCAACTGTAATCTTATTTTCGTTACAAACTTAGAAAGGGTTGTTGCACAAAATGTACTTCTAAGTAATTGCTCCATAAATCTTATATCCATCTATGTGAAGAAGAAATCATGTAACGAAGGGTATTCTCTAATTAGAGCCCCTCTTGAGATATAAAATATATCTTTTCTCACTACCCCATGTATATTCATTATAAATTTTATATACACAAACAAAAATATATTAAATATGATATAAATAAAAAAGGATGATATAAATTGAAAAGGAGTATAGTAATTGATAGAGATTTATTTCCTTCTGAATTAACAGCTTCACAATTGATCAGATGATGGAACCCCAGGTATCTGTGAAAATTGCATTATGCAATTTGCACATAGGAGACCAAATCAAAGAAGTCTAGTAACCTCTTATATACGTGGGGACTCCAAAAAACGTTGTCTTAAGAAATTCATACACATATATAGAGTTCTTACTCATGAAGTCCAAAATATAGGTCTTCAACAAGGCTTCATTAGACAGTTTTAAGCTCTGCATACCAAGACCACCATCCTCCAGATTTTAAGAAATCTTATTCCGTGCCATTCTGAGCAATTTTTGATCGTGATATGAAATCATTGCATGATCAATATTAAAGAATCAAACCTTGCACTGATCAATTACTATCCAATAATATGTAGAGGCAAAATCTCAAGCATGACTTACGGCATTAATTACATGAGGAGAAATTATAAGATCCCATTAGGAAAGATAAACAATTGCAACAGTTGTATTGAGTACCAATCTCCTTCCGATTAATTGTTTTTTGCGACAGTACTATATTCCAGATATATATGTTATGAAACATTGAAACTTTTACTATTTAAATAACGAGTATATACAATGTTATACGTGTGAGCTGAGGAAGATTGAGAAGTATACAAGACCATGATTAGGATCAAAAGTACTTCATAATGCAGGAGAGATTACTAGCTATCAAAAGTACCTCATAATCGATTTTGGCAAACCATTTTCACGTTCAAATATATACTCCATTTACCCAAGTTAATTTGAACCCTATATTTCAAGATGAAATCATCAAGTGTCAAATTGCTGTTGTGATCCATTTACAACAACAAATTTCTTATATATCTGTTTTTATTATTTCTATAAAATAATTCTTAAGATATGCCTATGAGGAGTGTTAGTGCATGTACTATCTGAGGTGTCCAAAATAATTAGCATTTTTTTTTTTTTTAATATTTTTGTCGCCGTTCTATTTGTAATTGAGATGCAGTTTTCAGCGGAAAGAAAGGATCCTGACTAAGAGTATATACACAAACATTAGAATATGTATCATATATACACACACATATATATACTAGTATATATAGATATATATTAGAACATGAATCCGTCTCTATATGGAGGAAAGAGGTGGCTGGTTTGATTAACTTTATCAGTTGCAGATTGATCCTTGTATGCACAGAAAGTCTCTCCGTCTACCTCTTTTGATTTTTTTTTTCTTTTTCTTTTTTCTTCTTTGGTGATGTACAAATTTTTCTCTTCTTTGGTGATGTACAAAGTATTGCTACTTGAAGAGTCATGAAAAGGCAGCAAACTACCAAGTGATGAAAAATGTCCCTAACCATCTTAAACGACAGCAAACTTAAAATTAACGAACGACGCGCCGTTCCTCTCATAAATCAAAGCGCCGAAGGAGGACGTGAAATTCTTCATTTTATGGCTCATTTAGTTCGTTGATTCGAGTTTTTAATTCTAATTGAGATGTGACTTTATGTGAGAGCTTTGTACTGTAACAAAAAAGTTAGATGTGACTGTTTCTGAGAGTTTTTTACTGTAGCAAAATTCAAATTCTAAATTCGAATCGGTGAAATGAACGGGTCCTTAAACAACAAAGAACATGTCGTATTTTACATGAACTTCTTTCTACTTGTTTTAAACAGCAACAAACTCATAAAAATTACGACATGTCGATATGGCAGCAAAGTTGTCAGAGTAATCGACGCTGTCTTCTTTAAGGCGTAAGAATTAGGATAAGAAGGCATGCCATTCTGCTTTCTAAATGGGGAAAATTCATTTCAGTACTTAAGAACTTTATCAAGTTGGTTCCTCTGTGTTTGATAAATTCTAGCTATTGGGATACTTTGTTATTCAAAAAAATATCATCGAGTTACACTGAACTCGTTTTTTAGGATATAAAAATGATAATAAAGGACTTTAGTAGGATTTATCGAACATGGAAGTACCAACTTAAAAAGTTTTAAATTACATGTATTTTCCTTTTAAATCATATTAGTTAAGTTTTCTTAAAAAACAACAAATTAATTTCATAAATGCTCTATGAATTTTGTACCTAATTTCAACATGTCTTTAAAATTTTAAAAAGGTTCTTTTATCCCGTGAAGTATGAAAAGTAGTTCAAAACACCCACTGAACTAATGTTATTTTATAAACGCATTTGAACTATTGATTTTATGTCAATTCTCCTCAAATCTTTTAAAATATCAGGAGGTAAGTTAACACAAAAGTAATAACACAGTTGATAAGTTGACTTAAAATCAATATTTTTAAAGACATTTATAAAAATATAAGCAATATTAAGTCATCATTTTGTTAGTTTATAAATGCAAGGACATTTTAAATTAGGATACATAATTTAAAAGACGAAGACCTTCTAAAAGCATGTAAAAATGCAATACAAAATTCAAGGTGCATCTATAAAACTAATCCATAAATAAAGTTTTAACCCTTAAATTTTCTAAAATTTGAAAGAGTGACACCAACTTGATATGAACTTCTTTCTGATGAATTTTTTTCCAGCAAAAAAAAAAAAGAAAAAAAAAACGAGGTTCATTTTATTAGGGTTATTTATTTCTGAAAATCATAAAATGACATCATAAAAAAGAAAAGAAAAGGAAAATCCCCTTTCTCTCCCTCCCTTTTCCCCTTTCTTCTTCGTCTGGCCAAACACTCACCCTCTCTCTCAGCCTCATTCCTCCGTTCTTCTCTTAACGGAAGCAAAACCAAAGCTTGCTTTCGTTGACTTCACCACCGAGCTTTCTACTGAGCAGAAGGCCAATTTCTGTAGCGAAACCTTTTTCAGCAGCGAGATATCTTTAGAGATATTAAAATTTTGAGGTAGGTTTTCTCTCTTGAATGATCTTAATCCGAAATTCCCCTTTCTAATTGGCGTTATTCTTAAGCCGGAAATCTTGTAATTGAGTGTTGCAATTGTTAAACCATTAGGCATATTCTTACTGTTAGAATTTCATACCATGTAGCTTATTATTACATAATCGGCTTTGCTGGAATTGACGCTTTCTCAGCGTTGATTCGTTACAAATTTTTTTGGGATAAAGTTAACCTTGTAATTGGGTGTTTATCATTTTATCTTGTAATTGTGTTCATTTTTATAATTGAATGTTGCAATTATAAAAACCTTAGAACTTAGAAGTGCATTTCCAAGAGTGAGTTTTGCTCAAATTCTTAAATTTTATGGGATTTTGATGGATTAATGATTAGTCATTGTAGCTTTGTTATTTTGTCTTGTGGGGTACAGTTGAATTTTTGAAGTCACATGAGTGGCAGCAGACACAGGACCCTCGGCGGCGGGGGTCAGCATGTACTGGACTACTTGAAGCGAATGCAAGCTGAGAATCCTGCTTTCTACTATGCAGTTCAAAGTGACAGTGATCATTCTGGTGGGAATATTTTCTGGGCTGATGCAACAGCCAGGATGAACTACAATTACTTTGGAGATGCGGTTATTTTCGACACTACCTACAGAACAAACCGCTATAGGTTGCCATTCACCGCCTTCACAGGGTTTAATCATCATGGCCAGCCAGTGTTGTTTGGGTGTGCATTAATTCTTAACGAGTCCGAGTCGTCGCTCATTTGGCTATTCCAAACTTGGCTTCATACTATGTCTGGAAGAAGTCCTGCCTCTATAACAACCGATCCAGACAGGCTTATACAAGTTGCTATTTCACAGGTTCTTCCTGAAACTCGCCATCGTTTCTGTAAGGGGGCCATATTCAGAGAAACCAAAGAGAAACTAGCTCAGCTGTATCAATCTCAGCCCACTTTTGAAACCGAGTTCAAGAAGGTTGTTAATGACAGCGAGACATTTAATGAGTTTGAGTCGAGTTGGGAATCTCTGCTCCAAAGATACTACATCATGGATAATGAATGGCTTCAATCGATGTACAATGCTCGGCAACAGTGGGTCCCAGTTTACATGAGAGATACATTTTTTGGAGAGTTATCTGGAACTGAGGGGAGTGGAGGTTTGAATTTCTTCTTTGATGGGTTTATTAGTGCCTCCACCACCATACAAATGTTGATTAGACAATACGAGAAAGCTACTGTAAGTTGGCATGAAATGGAACTAAAAGCAGATTATGACACTACCAACACTACACCAGTTCTAAAAACACCATCTCCCATGGAAAAACAAGCTGCAAACCTCTATACTAGAAGAATATTCAAGAAGTTCCAGGAAGAATTGGTTGAGACCCTTGCTAATCCCGCAACCAAAATAGATGACTCGGGAACTGTTGCCACGTATAGAGTGGCAAAATTTGGAGAAGACCACAAAGCAAACGCAGTTAGTTTCGATTCTTTTGAGATGAAAGCTACCTGCAGCTGCCAGATGTTTGAATATTCTGGAATAATTTGTAGGCACATATTAGCAGTTTTTCGTGCGAAAAATGTTCTGACACTTCCTTCTCAATATGTTCTAAAACGGTGGACTAGAGATGCCAAGACTGGAGCTGTTGTTGAAGAACGTGCTTCTGAATTGCCTAATACTTCTCGGGAATCTTTAACTGTTCGGTATAACAATCTACGCCAGGAAGCAATCAAATATGTAGAAGAAGGTGCTAAATCTATCCATATATATAATGTGGCTATGGATGCTCTACAAGAGGCTACTAAGAAGGTTGTTGCCGTGAAGAATCAAGTTTCTGGTACCGCACCAGGTGGTACTCTCGCCAATGGAAGTAGCCAAGTCTTGCATACAAATGAAGAAAATCAAATGGCAGCATACCCGTCTGTAGTAAGTTCCATCTAACTTGCAATCATATCCGGTTTCAATGTCTTCCGTTACTTTGCTTTCCTCTGTAGTCAATCTATACACTCTCTCTCTCCTTGAGCAGAAAGTAGGCCTGGTATTTAATTTCAGACACTGTTAAATGTATGGTCAGATATTTAAAGAACAAAATGCTGTATATTTGTATGTCTGTGTGTATATAGGTGCCCTTCCTGAGGTTTTGCTACAGTCACATATGGCGTATTTTGATGTTTTGTTGAAGTTTTTCTGGTAATATATTCCGTCCGGAAAACAAGAAAGCCTACAGTACGTCCTATTTGTTAGGAGAACTAATTTCAGAGGTTTCTCTCTAATTTAGACAAGACACGAGGGGTGTCAGTGTAAATAACCCTATTTATTATTGTCTGCTTGGTAACTCTTTCTATGTCATCTTCTATGCACATGTGCCTACGTAATTTTATCAGCTTTAAAAAGAGGCAGACCACCTTGCTTTGCCATAAATATGCACCTGTGATTCTGTTACTTTGATTAACTAGGTGGAAGATGTTTACACTTTATACCTTTAGAGGACAAGTTAGATTACAAGTTAGTAAATGTAATCTAATACGCTTCAATCCATTTTCTCCCTCTTTCCTCAGGAGGAGAAGGAAAAGAAAATTCGCGAGTTGTCTGCTGAGTTAGAGAGCACAAATCAACGATGTGAAGTATACCGATCAAATTTGCTTGCCGTTCTAAGAGATATGGAGGAGCAGAAGTTGAAGCTTGCCGTGAAAGTTCAAAATGCAAAGCTTAGTTTGAAAGAGTAGATTTGCAAATTGTGGCATAGATATTTTTTTTTTAATTACAATTTGCCACTCTGTTTTTTCTTCTCTTACCAAGCACATTTGCTAGGCTGGTTCCTGGGGATTGTTGGGGTGTTGGTCTTTGGCTGGCGGGCATATTTGTAAATCAAATAGTCAAATGCTTTGTTTTTACCCGTATAAGCTTCAGATTCTGAGCTCTATTGTGGTCTGTGTTTGATTGAGGAGAAGTTTTCTTCGTTCGAATTCTTACTTGTTGAATAAACAAAGTAACAAACCATACGACCGACAATGCAAGCGCGGTGAAGAAAAAAGGAGGGAAACAGGAAAGTTCTTCGCAGTCAAAACTGAACATAATAGCTTCCCATTTCTGTTGAAAAATCAAAAGAAAAAGAAACGGAGCAAGAAACCAAATAAAAGATATGTTTGCAAACAAAAAGTAAAAGGAAAAGATTCCGTTACATATTACAAAAAAGGGGAAAAAAAGAAGGAAAAAAAAGAAGAAGAAGAAGAATGTCAAACAGTAAGGATCAGTCATATTTATTATCGATGACGTGTTTACCATGAAAAGCTCCATATTCCAACGCTGCAATTTAGCATATGGGAAATCTTTTGAGTAAAAATCAATAAATATATATATATATATATATATGTATATTCATTACATCCATCATTGAGAGAATAAATTCCGGGAACAACTTTGAGAAGTTCCAAGTGACACGTCAAAAGTACTTGAAATGTCTATGGGCATGGCAGCATCAAAGTGTGATAACCATCTTGTTAGTTTTGGATATTTCGATTTCGTCGTTTAAAGTGAGAGCACTCTAAAAAATCCAGACTACTTCTTTTCCTCCAGTGTTGAAGCTCCTTTTCAAAGGAATAAAATCCAAAGCACCAGAAAAACTCCAGCTGTTGGGGTCAGATGATTCTACGGGTCTACATTTGTTGTCTTTTTCCTCCTTTTAACGGTGAACATAAAGATTAAAGATCAAAATTAGTTAAAGAAGTGTCTAAACTACTGTTCCGTGAACATTTGGAATATTTGTACAAGTCCTTGTTGGAATCTTCATCTTCAGTACCAGACTCTTAAACCTTAATTTTTCAGTTAATCTTCCCTATAATTCGCCCGTTTAGTAAATAGATACAGAATGTGGTAGTTTAAACTTAGGGTTTAAAATATGTGAGTTTGAACTTTTGAACTTTTAGTTCAAAACGTTGAAAACAAAGGGGCTAAACTTAAAATTTTATGGGTTTTTTTTTTAATTTAAAATAGTCTCAAAAATATTTACCAAACGCTGATTTATTTTAATTTTTTTAAACTACTTGAACCTGTTTACTAAATATTTGTTGTTAGGACATTAGTGCTAGATCTTTGAAGATTTAAATTTGTTTTACAGGACAATTCCGATATTTGCTGTTATGTACCATTGAACTTTTTGTGTCAGTAAGTACTTTAGGGAATCTCGGTTTTATCAGGTAAAAGGCAAATAAAACAAACCAACGTCCTTCCACGGCATTAGATTCCACAATTAGCCAATGCTTTCTTGATTCCTCACTCAACCACCCTGAAGTCTTTAGCTTGAACTCAAATTATTGCCTCAAACACAACCAAAGTTATTCTCTACTTGTGAAATTTAAGCAAAGTATCCGCCTAACCAAATAACTGTTCAGAAATGAGAAATCCCTTTTGGATGTTTTAAAAAGACTGACCATATAAACCGATCATGATCATAATCCATAATATAACCTTCATATAGAGACATCTCATGTCTCCCACTTGTCAAATAGGCCAAAAAAACAGAACCCCATGAAGTTTGACAAAGAAATCTCTCACCCCATCCATCCACACCACAAGCTCAAGCTTGAATACACAGAAATCCCATTCAATTGTGATGGCTGCAAAGAAGCTGGAATAGGCCTCAAGTACAAGTGCCTGCGGTGCGAGTTTGACCTGCACAAGGCCTGCGCCGTGGCCCGTCCCAGAATAACACATCCCTTCTACAACAAGTGTGATTTTCAGCTCCACTACACTCCCCCTGGTGGCGCCAGGAGGCGATGCGACGCCTGCAGAAATGAAGTGTTGGGGTTTGTTTATCACTGCAGGAGGTGTGATTTTGATCTTCACCCTTGTTGCGCCAACCTGCCACAAGTCCTGCAGGATGATGATGGGCGCGCCTTTTACTTGTGCCTTAAGTTATCTGGCGCGTGCCATTGCTGCGGTGGCAAGGGGCCTGGATGGTCATACAGATCGGACTGCAGGGCCTATAACCTTCATGTGTCATGCGTGAAGGAGCTGCTTGTGGAGAGTTGGCAAGCGATGTATCTAAATGTGGACAAGAACAAGGTTAGGGAGATTCAGACTAGGATTCCGAGTCTTAAGGGGACATTGCAAAACCATCACCATGGTGGCAGAGGAGGGAAGGTGAGGAAGTGTTGTGAGATTGCTGGCGGTGCAGTTCGGATTATCGTGTCCGCGATTCTGGGAGATCCGACTGCTCTGATTGGTGCTGTGGTTGGGGGATTCATGTCCAAGTAGAAGTTAAAGGACATTTAACAAATTAAGATGAGTACATGTTTACTATGTTTGTGATGGCGGTGTTTGTTCATTTTAATCTCTTTGTTTCGTTTATTGCCCGTAAAATTTAAGTGTTGCTTGTGATGTATGTGTTTGTTCAAACTTAAGAACATATATACGTATGAATATAGATTCTATAAACTTGTCTGATCTGTTTAGTTGGCTTAACAATATTTGAAACGAAAACCAGCAACCAATATTTTTCCTGTTTCAGTTTTTTCAACAAAATTCATAAGCCGAATGTTTGAAATTCTGTACGTGAGGACCAATCAAAACTTGCAGTGGAGAAGGGGAAACGACAAAATAGTCACTCCATATACCATTTGGTACTTAGAGCATTACATCTGATAGATTGTGATCCGTTATGTAGCGATCCACTTTTTGTTACTGTGCAGTGTTGAATGCCACTTTTTTTTTTTTTTTGTTTGGTATTGTTCTTCTTCATTCCTTTGTATCTGGATTAACATTTTGTATTTTGTTTGTATGCCTGTGGAAGTGCAATATAATGGTTTATATTTGCAACAATTGAAAACTTTAAAGTAGTTTGTTGATGCTGTGAAAAAAAGAAATAATCTGTTATTAAATAAAGACATCATTATATATTTTAATTATTGGATAATAGCGTAAGTATAATATCTCTTGCAGAACAATTGAAATTGTAAAATATTTTAAAAGTAAAATCGCATTAAAGTCTGGCTATAGCTGATAAACATTACAAATACAAGCACTCCTGACCATGGAAAAAGTCGTAGTTTTTCAAAAAAAAAAAAAAAAAAAAAAGTCGTAATAGAACAGTAGTACTCATTTCAAAGGCAACTATAGTTACCATTTAGGCCTTGTTTATTTTACTGATTTGAATTTAGAATTTAAATTTTATTACAGTAAAAAATTTTCAGAAACAGTCACATTTAACTTTTTTATTACAGTAAAAAGTTCTCACATAAAGTCACATCTCAACTCAAATTAAAAACTCAAATCAGAGAACTAAACAGGTCCTTAGACTTAGAGTGGTCCCAGCTATCTTGACAAAAAGAGATTCATTTGTTATTCAGCTGAATGTGGCAATAGGTGATGGAAACTTTCTTTGAATTTTCAACTTTATTACGAAGTCTTAAGTTGAATGTGGACTCGTATTTCTCCAGAACTCATCGAAATCCTTTTGTTAGTGTCCTGGTCAGAGACGAAACTCCCTCAGGCTTTTTCTTATTATCACCGTTGTCCTGGCACATGCACTAACGGTTGCTGCCCAGAAATTTCTCACATTTTTTTTAAAGGACGAGTTTTTAATAGTTAGGTCACATATAAATATAAAAATTTAATAACGTGATGTGATAAAAATTAAATTTTATTAATTATTTTTAATTATTTATTAATTATTTAATTTATTACAACCATTAATATCTTGTAACTGAAATGATAATACTCATTAATGGCAATATGGACTTTCTTTGGGATCAAGGTTTGTAGCATGAAAATATGGACTTTCTTGAGTTTAGCTTATTTGAATTGCTTTGATGTCTAAAACTACAAAGTTTGCTATTCCAAAAAAGGAAAGCTAAACGATGCATTCACTGAGGAAGAAAATGCAGCATAATTATGAAGAATAAAGAAATGGTCAAGATGGCAAACCGACAATTAGATCAGTTGAAACTTATTGGAAGTTTCTTGTTGAGTTCCTTAATCAAACTGTACCTTCTTATGTAAATAAATACACAAGCAAACTTCTTTCTCTAGCTACCCTCTTCTCTAATTAATTTAAGCCAATCCCATCTTCCTCGAGCAATCCCAATGAAAAGATTCCTATTTTTCACGGTCCTCTGTTTTGCGCTTTTGCAAATTGCTACCATTTTTTGCTCTGCTGAGACACTATCGAAAAGAAAGAGCTTTTCGTTCAACGGTTTTGACGTAGAGAAAAATGCTTCTTCCTTCCTATTCACAAGCCCTACTTCTTCCATCGATCAAAACGCGCTTCAGATAACACCGGACAATGAGAACCAACATAATGGGTACAAAAACAAGTCCGGTCGGGTCATGTACCGCGAGTCTTACAAGCTCTGGTCATCCGATCGCCCCGACGACGCAATTGCGTCGTTCAACACATACTTTGTCATAAACATGTACCGCACGGAAGCGTGGGAATCCGGCGAGGGGCTGGCGTTTCTCATAGCCCCGTCGCATCACGTGCCTGCAGGGAGTCACGGGCAGTGGATGGGCCTAACCAATGTAACAACCGACGGTAAACCCGAAAACCGAATAGTTGCCATAGAATTCGACACCCGAAAACAAGGCTTCGACCCTGATAGCAACCACATTGGCCTCAATATCAACTCCGTGAATTCGACCAAGACCGTTCCGCTTAGCGAGTTCGGGATCGAGTTATCGCCGGTGCCGACCACAAACAACAGCGTGTGGATCCATTACAACGGCGAGTCCAAAGTAATTGAGGTCTACATGGTGAAAGAAGGTGATAGCAAGCCTGAAACGCCGCTTCTTAAAGAGACAATAAACCTGAGGCAATTCGTCGAACAGGTTTCGTATTTCGGCTTCGCCGGCTCCACCGGCGACCCGGGGGTTCAGTTCAACTGCGTTACGCAATGGAAATTCGAAATCGAAGTCTTTCCGTCGGAGAAAGATTGGAAATGGCTGATCATCGGGTTTTCGGTCGGTGTTCCGTTGATGGTTTTGGTGATGGTCTTGTGTGGGATAAAGATACGAGGTTTTTGTCTGAAGAAGAAGAAACGAGCTCGTGACGAGGAAGCTGGAGTCACGGGGAAGCTGAAAATGTTACCTGGGATGCCTAAGGAATTCAAGTACAAGGACTTGAAAAGGGCTACGAGGAATTTCCATGAGAGCATGATTCTGGGTAAAGGTGGGTTTGGCGTCGTTTACAGAGGCGTTCTTATTTCTGATGCTGTTGTTACTCAAGTGGCTGTGAAGAAATTCTCCAGAGATAATATTGATGGTAAAGAAGATTTCTTGGCTGAACTCACCATTATCAACCTTCTTCGCCATAAAAATCTTGTTCGACTAGAAGGTATGTGAGTTCCAATACTTTAGTTTTTCCGTTTGCGGATCTTCTGTTCGATGAAATGCAGCACAAAGAACATTTTTTTTTTTTTTTTAAAGAACTAAAATGGCTTTTCTTCAGGGTGGTGCTACGAGAAAGGGAAGCTTCTTCTAGTCTATGACTACATGCCAAACGGCAGCGTTGAAAAACACTTGTACAAATCCTCCGACCGGAACACTCTCTCGTGGAGACATCGGTACAAGATTCTTGAAGGTGTGGCCTCGGCGTTGCATTACTTGCACAATGAGTACGACAAAAAGGTCGTTCACCGCGACCTCAAAGCCAGCAACATCTTGCTCGACTCCAACTACAATGCTCGCTTAGGTGACTTTGGGCTTGCCCGAGCCATCGAAAATGAGAGGAACTCGTATAACGAGCTGGAACTAGGCGGAGTCCCGGGCACAATGGGCTACATTGCACCCGAGTGCTTCCACACGGGGAAGGCTACTCCCGAAACTGACGTGTTTGGGTTTGGTGCGGTGGTGCTTGAGGTGGTGTGTGGCAGAAGTCCCGGAGTCAAGATTCAGCATGAGGAGCACCAGTTCACGTTGGTTGATTGGGTTTGGATGCTGCACCGCGAAGGACGTATTCTAGAGGCTGTTGACGAGAGGCTTGACAATGTGTATGACGTCGATGAAGCTATTAGACTTCTGCTTCTGGGGCTGGCGTGCTCCCATCCCATGTCCAGCGAGCGGCCACAGACTCGGGCTTTATGTCAAATTATAGCTGAGAGTATGCCACCACCTCGCGTGGCCCCATTTAAGCCCGTCTTCATGTGGCCTTCATTTAGTACTGCCTTCAGCTCGGTTGAAGAGAGCAGTTCCTCCAACATGTAAGCTTGTGGCAAAACATGGATATAAGATCAACAAACATTGATCTATATCTATGTATGGCATATTTGGAGAAGTCAAACAATTATCTATATCAATGTATATAACCATTTGTATAGAGAATGCCCTTGATAAGGGGTCGCATTATTTTATCTGCGACGCTAGAAGACCATACTGCATTACTGCACTAAATATCTCATTAAAAATACATGTCAAGTAGAAGAAAGAAATCACTAACAAGTAGGCTTACCACGTTACACTATTGTTATTGTTATTCATTTATTTATTCTGTTCATTTCGTCTATACTTACTTGACATGTAGGTTTAAGTTGCGCTAATCAGTTTTTAATTAGCGATGTAGTCCTTGAAAACAATTGTCAATATCTTTGTATCAGGTCTGAAAAATTAAATGGATCAAGTTTGGATTAGTTAATCTTATCAGAGCTTTTACGGTAAGTTATGTTATTTTTGTTGGTACCGGTTTGAGTCTTTTAATACTTTATAAGATAATATAAATAATACAGAGACGTAAAATAAAAAAACATGAGAGAAATGGTATCGTGGTTCGGTCACAACCTACTCGGTCACGCCCAGATGATGAACAATCCACTAAGAACTCTTTTACAATTATATTGGACTTAATCTACCCGAAACTCCCTCTCTAAGAAAACACCTATGAACTTGTAATTTCTCAATGGACTTGAACAGCGAGATCTCCTCGACTTTTTAACATTAGAATCCCTCCAATTAAGTTTTTCTCCCAAAAAACACTCAAATCATCTCTGTGAATACAAGTACTCACACCTATCTCACAACCCAGAAAAACTAATCAAAAGGTGTACAAAGACTCGAGAGACTTTTTGAATAAATAAGCAAAATGTGGACATCTTGACGACCTCTTCAATTAATTTGTTGAATCAAATCTGTTGCAGATCCTTGTTGCAACAATAACTGCAACATAGCTGTCAGGGTCAGCTCTCCCAAAATCAGTCCGAGAATCAATCTTCTTAAATCTTGAAATCTTTCAAAAACTGATATACAAACCTGGACACATTCTTAGGAGATAGAGAAAGATCGTCCAGCTGCGGAAACTCAATCAAATATCAATCAAATCACCAATTATCAATTTACCATCTTTGAATCAATAGTTGACTTTCAAAAACAGAAACTATATTCAGTTTCCAGACATGCAATAACTTTCCAGTTCTCATAAATCTTCTAGGATACTTCCTTCCTTCTATTAATCTCCAATCTTCTAGGATTTCCTTTCAAAAATTGATTTCTATCAAGAAAAGAACATTCCATATTTGAAGCAATCAAGCAACCAAAAATACATCCGATTTTCTTCATAAACGCCAATTGCCAAAAATACCTATTTTTAAATTTTTACAACCAAAAAATACTTGTCCTAACAATTTTCCCATACCATTTGGATAAGTGTTTTTTAGTCATTCATATTAAATGTTACCAGCAAATTTATGAGCGCTTATATTAAATATTGTGTTCCGTACCGCATAAAGTACTCTTATCACTTATTATAGATCAAGCAATTCATTCGAAATTTAATCGAATGACTAAAAAAACTGACTATATTACTAGGATAAAACGAAGTCCCTAGCCTAATATTTTCCTAATCTATTAGATGATTTTCTCTCTTTTTCTCTTTTAATGATTATTAGCACATCCATACCATCAAGGACTATGAATTAGAAGAAAGAAGTGGGGAAAAACATTAGTACTAAAAGGCAATTGTAAAAAGTTTATCAATGAAGTCAAGTGATTGATATTACGTTGTATACAAACCTAAACCTATTGTGGAGATACAAGAAGAAAAAAAAAAAAAAAAAAAAAAAAAAAAAAAAAAAAAAAAGGGAACGCCTTCAGGTAAGCTAAATTGAATTAGGGGGATAATTAGTTCACATATAGACAACTTTGCCGGACTCCAAGTCATAAGCTACAGAAGCTTTAGAAGTAATCTAAAATGAGCCAAACACTAATCCCTCTGTGCTTGTCTTCTTCTCAATCAGAACATCTCTAGAAAAACTCTATTTTTTCTTTCTCACATGTTCATGTGGAACTATACAATATAATCCACTTGACAATATTATAATACAAAGAATATCAGGCCTCTCCTTTTCAGTGGTGCAGCTTGAAAAGGCATACCCTTTTGCGTGTACTTTTATGTTGTAAAAGCAGGAAAACCAACTCATTTGGTTTGTAAAGTATTCATGTAATGATATACATATATATATATATATAGTGTGTGTGTGTGTGTATATATATATATATATATATATATCCTAGATGGACAACCCACGAGTGTCATTTGGACTCATGTTGTGTGTAAAATTCTGCAGATCAGTCAAGGACTGACAATTATTGCGTGAGACACGGCTCCATCAAGTGTACTCATTTTGTTCACTAACCAATTAAATTTGTCACAGATTTGCAGAGGCCAGAGCGGGTAGTTTAAGGCTTTAAGCAGTACTGATCTAAGTTAATTTGAGATCCTTCAAATTATATTTGTAATTAAAATTTTGAGCAATAAAAGTTCTTGATAAGTCACTTTGTCACAGATTTGCAGAGGCCAGAGCGGGTAGTTTAAGGCTTTAAGCAGTACTGATCTAAGTTAATTTGAGATCCTTCAATTATATTTGTAATTAAAATTTTGAGCAATAAAAGTTCTTGATAAGTCATATTTATTATAAATGAAAGAAGAAAATAAAAGGAAGAAAAGACACTTATTGTGCCTACATTCACGAATTAAAAAAAAAAAGTTACTAGTAAGAAGTATTATTATGGAATGAACTCAATATATATACAAATTACAATTATCGCATGGGAAACTATCAAATATAAAGATACAGTAATGTAAAATAAATACAAATAAAATCTAAACACTAACAAAAATAACAACATATAAAATATTAACTTTCGCTAATAATCTTATTTATATTGGTTTTGTTTGGTTGTTTTTCAACACTCCATTTGATTTCAAAACCAAAGAATGAGCATGACTAGTACAAGCTGACGTTGATATAAAGGGGAAAAGGACATCTTGATTGAATATTTAGATTACCCTCCAAGTTCAATGTTTTTATTTTTTATTTTTTCTTTTCTTTAGAACTTCTCATTTTCCTTGTGCTATATTTATAATTGCCACAAATTGGTTAGTCTTAGAGATGAAACTCCTGTAGGTTTTCCCCCACACTGTAGTCAAGGCATATCAAATCCATTATAGCTACCCAGAAATTTCTTCAAAGAAAATAATAAAAAATAAGGCAACACCCAAAGTCTGTGTGGAATCTTTAATTAGAATGAAAAAATTTGACTTCTTATGCATATCGCCTGGACTTCTAAAACTGTTTTAGTAAGCAATAATCCAACCGCTCCATTCCTTCTAGCATAAACAAAGTACTAAAAAGCATAACGCAAAATATCATTCACAGAAAAATGAAGAAAGATTCTCTACACGCTAAAATATTAAATAATGAAAGAAATGGTCAGAATGGCATATTGATAAGGTCATTTGACGCCCTAAGAGAAGATCTATCCCCAACTAAATACATACATACATACATTATACATATATATTTATATATATACGAAAGAAATAAAATATACTCATATTTTTGGTAATTTCCTATCCATTTCGTTGTAGGGAGCAAGTACATTATTGTGCATATATAAATAGGAAAACAAAGCTCTAATAGATCTCCCTTCTTCTCTTCTCTGTTTTGATTGGTTCCAACCTTCCCTTCTTTCCTTGCCATATTTCATTACGAGCCAAACATAGAAAGCAAAAAATGGTGCTCTCAAAAAGAAGTTCCATAATCTTCATAATTTTTTGCTTTTCCCTGCTCCAAAACGCCACAATTGGCTCATCAAAATCACCAAAGACAAAGAACCTCTCATTCCATGACTTCAAAGAAGTAAGAGACGCAACTTCCTTCAAGTTCACAAACTTCTCTTCCATTGATGGTGGGGCCCTTCAGCTGACCCCAGACAACGAGAACCAGCCCTTGGGATACTTCAACAAATCCGGCAGAATCATGTACTATAAACCTTACAAGCTCTGGCGATCCGAAACTGACCGAGACATTGCCTCTTTCAACACCACTTTTGTCATGAACATCTACAGGAACAGAACTTGGAACCCTGGCGAAGGCTTCGCTTTCCTAATTGCGCCGGAGTTCGACGTCCCCGAGGAGAGCCACGGCCGGTGGCTAGGCCTCACCAACGCCTCGACCGATGGAAATCCCGAGAACCGCCTGGTGGCCGTCGAGTTCGACACCGAGAAGCAAGAGTTTGATCCTGATGACAACCACATCGGCCTCAACATCAACTCGGTGAGATCGAAAACGACAGTCTCGCTTGACCGATTCGGTTTCCTAATCTCGCCGGAGACAGGCACTGACTACAGAGTGTGGATCCAGTACAACGGTAAGTCCAAAGTAATGGAAGTTTACATGGCGAATCGGAGCGATGAGAGGCCAAAGCAACCGTTCCTGAATGAGACCATAAACCTGAAAGACCATGTCAAGCAGAGTTCCTACTTCGGTTTCGCCGCCTCCACGGGGAATCCCGGGATTCAGTTCAACTGCGTGCTGGAATGGGAGCTGCAAGTGGAAGACTTTTCGGGTAAGAAAGACGGGAAATGGTGGAGGATTGCCCTTGGGGTTGGTGTTTCAGTCATGGTTTTGTTAGCCTTGTGTGGTGTCAAGTTTGGAGTTGCTTGTGTCAAAAAGAGAAGAGATCTTGATGAAGACTCCAATGTTTTGGGAGCATTAAAAAGGTTGCCTGGGATGCCAAGAGAGTTCAGATACAAGGATCTCAAGAAGGCCACAAATGATTTCCATCAGAATATGGTTTTGGGACAAGGTGGATTTGGTGTCGTTTATAGAGGAATTCTTAGAGATTGGGATGGACGTAGTACTAGTTCTGCTTTAAGAACTAATGAAATTGCTGTGAAGAAATTCTCCAGAGATGACATCAAAGGCAAGGATGATTTCTTGGCTGAGCTCACAATCATTCACCGGCTTCGCCATAAGCATCTTGTCCGTTTAGTTGGTAATTTCCTTAACCTTTAATTTTCTTTTTCTTATTTTTATTTTATTGTTTTTTTCTCAGTTTGATGGTTCTTTTATTGCATTAAATTATGCAAAGTTGTTTTTTACCAGGGGTACATGGTTGAATATTTCAAGGATCAAATTTCACATGTTCTTTTATTGCATTAAATAATGGAAAGTTGTTTTTTGCCAGGGGTACATGGTTGAATATTTCAAGGATTAAATTTCACATGTTCATTAAAAAATGAGAAAAAAACAATAAGAAAAAAATAAGAAAAAAAATAGGACAAATTTTATAAATGCCCCATAAACTTTGTTACTTATGTCAACATGTCCCCTGAATTTTAAAATGTGCATGTTGTGCCCCCGAAAATGTCAACATGTCCCATGAGATTAATTCCGTTAAGTTTTTTTAATGCAAATACTTATAAATGTCCATTGAACTTTGTCACTTTGTCAATATACCCCTTGAACTTTAAAATGTACCTGTTTTACCCCCATAATTATGATATGTCTCAAACTTTTTCTTCTTCATCTTGATTCTATCAGTTTTTTGACGAAAATGTTAATATGACCATTAAACTGCTAATTATCTATGATATTTGAGATTTATTGAAGACCTTCTCCTCTAAAAATGTTAGTTAAGTACCAATTCTCAAAACATTAGTTGATTAGAGGCAGTAAAAAGGGAAAAAATGAGAAGCAAATCTATATAATGTAATGATTTTTGTTAGTTTTTTCACTTAATATTTCACCTAGATAGAAGTGCTCGACATAAAATATGTTTATGCTTTATACATATATAACAATTTTAAATCTAAATGCGTTCAAGTCATTTATTTTACTATACTTTTTAAAAAAAAAAATCAACACAAACCTTAAGAAATCCATTAACTTAACAAACTTTAATGGTCAAATATTATAATAATTAGCAATTTAATGGTCATATTGACATTTTCGTTTAAAAAAATGATAGAATCAAGATGCAAAAACAAAAGTTGGAGACATATCATAGTTTGAGGGCAAAATAGGTAGATTTTAAAGTTCAAGTGGCATATTAACACAAGTGATAAAGTTTAAGGGGGTGTTTATAAGCATTTTTGTTAAAAAACTTAACGGAGTTAACTTAAGAGGGTATATTGACACAAGTGACAAAATTTAAGGGGCACAACATGCCCATTTTGAAGTTCAAAAGATATGTTGACACAAGTGATAAAGTTTACGGAGAATTTATAAAATTTGTCCTAAAAAATAATGATAGAAGTTTGGTGGGTGACTTGTTAAAAATCAATTGTTAGCTGTAATATGTTTTCATTAAGCATGACATAGGATGGCCAGTCACTAGCCTTTCTGATTAATCCATTGAATTTAAAAAGGTCAAAACTCGTGTACTTGGGTGCAGACAAAAATGATGATACAAGTCTTTCCTTTGTATACTATTTTTGTTAATTTATTGAGCCACAATTTCTTTCATTTTTTCCTGTGTCACCTGATTATCTTCTCTTCCTTTCTACTTGCTGTCGTCTGTCAGGTGGTTCAGCGAACCACCAACAAGACCATAACCTGAAGTCCAAGAAAATGTTCTCATATCCCATAAAAACGACATTTTACAATGAAAATTTAGACTATAACCTATGATCTAGAATGTAATTATAAACCCGGCTAATGTGATATACCCGACAAAATATTAGCAGAAAAATAAATAGGGTTAAGTACTAATAGTGCATTTACTTTCCGTGTTTCAGGTTGGTGCTATGAAAAAGGAAAGCTTCTTCTAGTCTACGATTACATGCCAAACGGAAGCCTTGAGAAACACCTCTACGAATCCTCCAACACACTGAACTGGAGACATCGACACAAGATACTTGCAGGCGTAGCCTCGGCATTGCATTACCTTCACAACGACTACGACCAAAAGGTGGTTCACCGTGATCTCAAAGCCAGCAACATCTTGCTTGACTCTGACTACAATGCTCGGTTAGGTGATTTCGGGCTTGCACGTGCCATAGAAAACGAGAGGACCTCGTATGCTGAGCTAGGACTAGCTGGTGTCCCAGGCACAATGGGCTACGTAGCCCCGGAGTGCTTCCACACAGGAAAGGCTACGCCGGAATCTGATGTATTTGGCTTTGGTGCGGTGGTGCTTGAGGTGGTGTGTGGCAGAAGCCCCGGAGTTAAGATTCAGCACGAGGAGCACCAGTTCACATTGGTTGATTGGGTTTGGATGTTGCACCGTGAAGGGCGTATTCTAGAGGCTGTGGATGAGAGGCTTAAGAATGAGTATGTTGTCGAGGAAGCAAATCGGCTTCTGCTTCTGGGCCTGGCGTGCTCACATCCTGTAGCCAGCGAAAGGCCACAAACTCAGGCCATTTGCCTAATCATAGCCGAGACTCTGCCGTCGCCTCATGTGCCTCCTTTCAAGCCTGTCTTCACATGGCCTAACTTGGGCTTGGGCGTTGCCTTTAGCTCCATTGAAAGTGATTATTCAAATATCACATTGTCTTCTTGAACTGTGAGGAAACGTAGAATCTAACATTGATTTATTGGGGCTCAGCTCATCCCGAGATTGGAGGGTTACCGACTTGGCACTTGCAATTCCTGTTACTCGGTTTGGAGTCATTTAACCCTCCTTTCGAATTTAAATGGGAGATTTTTTTTATATAATCCCACGTTTGTGTTCCTTACAACCAAATGAGTACGGGCCAAGACTGTACTTAGAACTTATGTGAATTGGCAATTTCTTCTACTATGTAATTAAAAGGAAAATTCCATTTCCACCTTTCTTTTCAAGAAAACAATATATATCTTACTTTATTGTCGGTCCAATTGGGCTAAACATAATCTGCAGTTCGAGATTACTACATATTCAAGAGAGGAGAAAAAAGAAAGAAAAGAACAACTCAAACAATCTCATGGACATTCATTTACCAGCAGCGAGCAGAAAATTGAACTCCAAAATTTTGAAAACTTCCGCATAAAATTACAATATCAAGACTGAGTCAGCTTCTTCTATTTGACCAACCCGAAATCGCAAATAGGTTGGGTTTACTAGAAATTGGAAGACATCCATTCAATCTACATTCGTAATCGAAACTACATTCAAGCAAAAATGAAATAAGGAAAGAAGGGAAGTGGCTCACCTTCCTTCAAACCAAACCAAACTTCCTTTGGAACTTCTTTTGATTACAATCCAGCATTTCATTCAAGCTGCAATCCATTTTCCTCTGCTTCAAAGCTCTGTGCCGTGACTCCAATCTTTTCTTTAAACCGTAGCGAAAGAAATCGGGAAAATCAGTGACTTCATCAACCTGCCTTCCCATCTCTTCTACCAAAAACTTGATTCTAGGTTCTAAAGAGTTCTGAATGCTCTTGATCAGAATAGGGGGATAACCAGTCACCAAAGTTGCTATTTGCCCATCTCCAAATCCACTTCTTTGCAGATAAGCAAAGTTTGGTCTCAGAACCTTGTTCACATCTCTGCACATAACTTCAGGGTAATTCATTGCTACTGACTGTAGACCCGTCTCCGTAAGGCCTATCGACTTTAAAAACTCCGCTGTCGGGCGAAGCCTTTTATCAACACTATATCCCATTATAAAAGGATTCTTCACCATCACTTTCCCAATCACCCCATCTCTAGAAAGTCCAAGACCAGCAAGGAACTCCACAATCTCCGTCAGCTTTGTCTCAATGCCGTAGCTGATCAGCCTCGGGTTGAGCAAAATCATCTTCCCAAGTTGCTTCTCGGGAATACCCAGCGTCTGAAAGAAGGCCAAAAGTGGGCAAAGCTTCTCTTCCACACTGTGGTACAATATGTGAGGGAACTTTGCAATGGCTGAAGCTACTTCTTGGGGCTTTGTACCAAGTGTGTTGAGACATTCAACAGTTGGAACAAGCTTCTCATGGAGGCCTAAAGTGAGGATTTTAGGACACTTTGAGATAACATGAGGTAACTTTCTCTCCTGAATTCCAATGCTTTCCAAGTAAGCCCAATTCTCAGAGGCACTTTCTCTTTGTACCCCTTCAAGTCGCTTGCATTTTCTCAACATTTCATTTATACTCTTGTCATCAAAACCTTTGTCCCTGAAGAACCACATAATTCCATTTTGTGTGCTTCCCATTTCCGTCAGCCACCTAACAAGATTTTTCTAAACATCAAAACTAATATAAAGTTTTCAACACAATTAATAAATAAATAAATAAATAAATAAAACTTTGCAATGCCTGAGTTCAGTAACGTTAGCCACCTAACAAGATTTTTCTAAACATCAAAACTAATATAAAGTTTTCAACACAATTAATAAATAAATAAATAAATAAAACTTTGCAATGCCTGAGTTCAGTAACGTACCTTTGATTGAATCAGAACAGTGAAATGGGGTTCTAAAGAACAGAACTTAAGCAACGATTAATCATAGTTGTGAGCTCTCCAAGATTTGGGAATCGATCGGAGAGATAGAGGGTGACTTCTTTGGAGAAAATCCTTATCTGTTCACTGTTTTGGAGTTATTTCCTTCTTTCCAAACAAGACGTGTTAATGAAATTACCTATATGCCCCCATCTTTTTCGTTTTTTACCAACGTGTACTCTACTGGGTTTGGGGGTTAAAACCCAAATCCCATTTTTTCAAAACCCTAAACCCAACCCGCTTCGCCATTGATCCCACGACAATATGCCCCAATTCGGAGGTAATCTCTCCAAGCTTATCTTCACCGGAACTCGTAACTCCCTATCCCGTTCATATCAATCCTCAATTCGGAACAACTTACCGAAGAAACTTCGGTTCTTTGGCTCCGCCGGCAATGGCGAATCCGATGAAACGACGGGCCCAAGTTTTTCGCAGAACCCTCGCGAACGTTCCAGACCCAATAGACCCCCGCGGGGCCGGGGACCGTTAACTTCCGAGGACGACAGTTTCCTTGAAAAATTCAAGCTCGGACTTGATAGTTCCAAGGACGGGATGCAGGAAAAACCACGGCGAGAAGCAGCTAGGCCGAAACCTCCTCTTCCGCAGCCGCCGCCGCCGCCAGAGGACGCCGACGAGATATTCAAGAAGATGAAGGAGACGGGTCTGATTCCCAACGCGGTGGCGATGCTCGACGGGCTTTGCAAGGACGGGCTTGTTCAGGAAGCGATGAAGCTCTTCGGTTTAATGAAGGAGAAGGGAACTATTCCCGAGGTTGTGATATACACCGCCGTGGTCGACGGCTTCTGCAAGGCGCAGAAGCTCGACGACGCGGTGAGGATTTTCAGGAAGATGCAGAGCAATGGGATTGAGCCCAATGCCTTCAGTTACTCTGTGTTGGTTCAAGGCTTGTGTGGGGGTAAAAGGCTTGAGGATGGCTTGGAGTTTTGCGTGGAGATGTTGGAGGCTGGGCATTCGCCGAATGTGGCGACGTTTGTGGGGCTGGTCGATGGGTTGTGCGAGGAAAAGGGCGTTGAGGAAGCTCAAGGGGTCATTGGGAAGTTGAGAGATAAAGGGTTCTTGCTTAATGAGAAGGCTGTTAGAGAGTTTTTGGATAAGAAGGCGTCATTTTCGCCGTCAGTTTGGGAGGCGATTTTTGGGAAGAAGGCGTCGCAGAGATTGTTTTGAGACTTCTTTTCTAATGTAAGGATCAGAAGAACTCGTTTGTGTGTGTGTGTGTGTGTGTGTGTGTGTGTGTGTGTGTTTTTTTTTTTTTCCCCTAATATCTCTTTACTTTTGCTCTGTGTAGAAGATGACGATTTCTTATTTTTGAATAAAATTTTGTTTGATTAAGAGGCAAGGTGAAATCCTTGTTACTTAAGGAGTGCACTTTTAACACAAACTATGTTTAGCGGAGTTCAAATTCAATAGATAATCATTGGGTTTGATAATGCTGTACACCATAATTTGTGATTTGTCTCACTATAAGAACAGGATTAGTTTTTAGTACAGAATAAGCAACAACAGAACATGGAAGATAACCACTTTTGTAAATGAGCAATGCTCGATGGAATTTGTCTTAAAATCTCTTGCAATTGATGCCTTTTAATAATATATCTTGCATGAAATCATGCAAGGCCACGTTTTGCTGTATGCTTTCAGGGTATTGTGTGAGCTCTACTGTGTTTACAGAAGATATATGGTTCAAACGAGCAAGCGAAACATTTATATTTCTTCTACTTTGATTGGTAAGTGATACAGAACAGACATATATAGGCTATCCGATTAAGTTTGTTAGAAATCTGTGCAAGAGCATATACTCCTAAGTTTTGTGAGGCAATCTCGATTTTGCTTTATTATTCTTATAACTTCACATTAGGAACTTCTGGTCATGCTTTTCGACCAAGGACATCTCCAACAGTGATCTAGAGCATGTAGAACTTAGAATAAAGATTCGAGTTTTATTCCGTTTGTACTCCGGCTTTTGCTATTGCTGAATTACTGGCTGCTAAAAGAATTGGAACTCTTCTGGTGTCTGAACATGAACGTGGGTGTGGGGGGCAGGGGCAGAGGAAATGGATGTTGGTGAACTTGTTTAATTGAGTTTTCTGGTTGCCAGAAACCTTTTGAAACTCAATAGGTATAAGATCCTATATGGACCCAACTAAATTGTCTTCTTTTACTAAAAAGACATGCAAATGTTTAGTTGCACTCTTGTGTTGCCCTTCTTTAGTTGCAGTTTTTAGTTGGAGGTTGAGGGTAGATACTCTGTAGATAGGTACTTGGATAGGTTTGCTACAAACTTTGTAGTTTGATTCATAATAAAGAGAATGTAAGAAATCGTTAGGGAGTTTATGCAATTAGGTGCTTCATGCTTGATGAATTTTGGATGACTGCAACTGTAGATGACTGATTTTCACCATTCGTCCGAGCTACAGTTGGAATTGTGGGGCCGTTTTATTTGTTGTGGGATATGATGAAGGATAATATGATCAAGCTATCCAGGACAAATGTGCTTAGCGGTATAGTTATGCTATGCGTATCGGTCCTAGTGGTTCTTTGTTCTAAAAGACATAAGATGATAGTAGAGTTGTATCATGTAAAAAATTTGTAAATCTTTCACTAATAACATATATACACACATTAAAAAAAATGTAGAATTGCCCAATAACTAACATTTCTATATCTTATCAAATAATTGTCAAAAGCAAGAAAAAGCGGTTAATTATATTTTTGGTCCGAGAGCTATAAATTAAATCATATTTTTGGTCCCAGTCCAGGTATTCACCCCCTCAATCCTGTCAAGGGCTAGTCTTTCAATCCTGTTTAGGTTAATATGATCAAGCCTAAGATTCTACATATATGTGTTATTGTCGTGAGAAATCTTTTGTTTTTTTTAAAACATCACTGAACATATCCCCAATCTATCAAGTTTGTTTCAATTAATCTTTCCATCCATAAGATTGATATATATATATATATATATATATATATATATATATTTATATATGACACCAGTCATTCGAGGACCATGTATAGTTATTTCGTAATTGTAAGAGAGTTAATTTGGTCTCTTTGTTTTCAAGCTCAATTTTTTACGGGATTTCGAGGCTAGAATTTGATGTGTTGCCGAATTGTTTGAAGGGGGCTCACGTCTGTCCTACAAAATCCTCCATTTAAGCTTGGTTGCTGAAATAAGCTCGCCATTCCAAAAGATCCTCAGATTAGCGATCAAACAACACTCTTATTAAACCTCTTCTAAACGATGGTAATTTGCGGATTATTTTCCAAGAACTCCGACTTCCACGGTTAATTTTAGATCTTAAAGACGCCCCCGTGCCTACAACCTTAAAACCCCTAATTTCTATCCCCCCCTTTTATCGCCCTTTGATCCCCTCTTGGTTAGCCTCCTCACCTTCAAGACTCTAGAGATTTTGCCTCCAAATTCGAATTAAGGTAGCAACGGTAGTAACTATGCCTAAATGACTCAACAACCTTACACATGCACTCACGTGCCTTTTTCGTCAAGGTTTTAAGAATTAATGAACGGATGGATTAATTTGAGACACGCTTAATAGATCGAAAAAAAAAAAAAAAACGTTCAGAGGTGATTTAAAAATCAAGGATTAAAATGAGATTTAACCTAAGTCAAATTAACCTATAAGAAAAAAAAAAAAAAAAAAAAAAAAGTGACTGAATGTATATATTCATTCTGTAAAATATTCTTCCTAGCCTTGTATTCAATGGGCGCGTTTGAAACTCGTTTTAAAATAATTTTATTTTTTGTATGAAAATGAAAACGTTTTCAATCTTAGACAGAATTCATTTTTTAAAATGCGTTTGGTAGTTTTATCAAGAGATTATTTTCAGTATAAAACAACCCATTAATATCTCTCTTTCTCTCTCTGCTCGCGAAAATAAAAAATAAAAAACGACTAAAAGTCGTTTTTCACTTCTCTCTCATTTTATACTAAATTAAAAAATAATTTTTATTTTTATTTTTTATCTTTATTACGCTAAACGCTATTTTAAAAATATTTTTATTTTTTTTCTCAAAAAACATAAAAAATAAAAAAGAGATTAATTCTAAACACGGCTAATAATTCCATCGCTAGATCACGTGCATGGATTTACTTGTTTGCATACATATACGCATTTTTACGCGCTTGAATATATAAAAAGCTCGAAAATTCTCTCCGTATATTTTTCTTAGCCATGATTTTACGTTTTGGTCACAAAACACACACCCACAGACACTGCCAACCCAAATCCCTTTGTAACATTGCCGAGGTTCTAAGGGTTTGTTTTTTTGAGTGAAAAATTAAAAAAAAAAAACAATTTGAGTTACAATTTTATTTGAGTTCATATTCTTTTAAATTTAAACTCGAGTTTAAACTCGAGTTCAAATTCGAGTTTAAGACTAAAACTCGAGTTCAAGTTTCCCCTTCAACTCGAGTTCAGAAACTCGAACTCAAATTAATGAACAGTATTTTTTCTATTTTTAAAAATGCTATAACTTTTTCGTTTTAATTCTGATTGAGATGATTTTTTTTTCTATACGTTGATAACGAAAAGACGAATAAAACTCGACTCATATACCCTATTAAAATTTTTCATCAGCATTGAGTTTTTATTAAAATACTATATAAATACAAATTCAAGTTTTGACTCACTCAAACACAAACTCAAAAAGATTCTTATCTCAAACCATAACTCAAATGTACACAACTAAACACAAACTCAAGTTACAAGTTTAACTTAAATTATAATTTAAATTCAACTCAAGAATTATACTCAAGTTAAATTCAAAAAAAACAGGCTCTAAGCCTTTTTGGAAAGTTGGATTTGACAGCACCCAACACTTCATAATAAAAATTGCGCGTCCAAAATCAATTCGACACTCCCCAGAACGGGTAGGCGCCGCTCTTCTGAGAGTACTCCGCCTGTTGTGCCCACCACGTGGTCGGTCATTCTATGATTTAATTTAACTTTACTATTATATAATATTATTATAGTAATAATAAACGCTAAGGATAATAATATACATCTCCTTTTGAATAGAGCCTTTGGATACATACTATAAGCTATCTCTTTTTTGTTTAATGCCAAGCACAACTCACGCAGGGGAATTCTCAATCCCCTATAAAGATTTTTGTGATTTGGTCGGCATATTTTGCTTTTTATTTTTTTATTTATTTTTATTTCCCATTTTTGTTTGGGGTAGTCAAACCTGGGCTAGAGGAACTGTCCCACAAATGCAGGGTAGTTGCTCCATCTTTGTTTCTCTCTTTTATTTTTCTTTTTGCCTAAAACACACTCTTATACTCACGCAAAAAATAACAAAAAGACAAATAAGATAAATAATTACTTGGTTCAGAAGAGGAAGAAAAAATGCACTAATAAATTTAAAATTATACACTCAATAGATTTTCTCACTTTTTTTTTACTTAAAATTCCTTACACCCTTTACCTAGCTCTCTCCTCACTTTTCTCTCTCTCTCTCTCTCTCTCAAGAGGAGATACTTTTTCCTCCGTACTTCTCTCTCTAAACACACAAAACTCTACACAAACTATTTATTTATAGGCTCTTATGAACTATAAAATAACTCTCGCCTAAAAACAGAAAATAGTTTTTTACTTAAAAAATACAAAATAATTACTTTTCCAAAACTAATTTAAGGCAATTGCCTAATACTATTTTTGTTTGAACACAGATATGTTTCAATTATATCCGAATAATAATGGATGACGTTGGCTAAGCATATAGCAGCGCATGTGCTATGATTATTGGCAAAGATAAAAACGTACCTAGTGCGTAATGTAACTTTTGATTTCTTTTCTATGTGGTTATGTGGTCTTAGAATTTATGATAAATCATTATTTCACCCCTTTTTTTTTTTCCCACCAATGGTATCCAGGATGAGTCTAATAAATTTCGCTGTGCCCTCGAAACTTTCCCTACT